GGTTCGATTCCTCAGCACCACATAAGCAGAAAAAGGCAGAAGTGGCATTGTGGCTCAAGTGGTAGAGCACTAGCCTTGAGCTGAAGAGCTGAGGGACAGTGCCCAGGCCCAGAGTTCAGGCCCCACGACCGACCAAAAAAATAAAAATAAAAAAAAATTAATTAAAAAAAACTTCTCATTTTTAGTTTTAAATTTTATTTTTAACCTTATCTTTAAGATCAATGATTTATCTTTCAGAATGTAGGCTCCTTTTCAAAACAAGGTCCATAATTTGGCATGGTAGAATATGTTTGTAAGGCTAGCATATAGGAGGTTGAAGCTATCTCAAGGTAAAAGGGGTTGAAACAAATTATTGTGGATAAGGTGAGTGGAATTTTGACAGGCAAAGGTTTACATCTGAAGATTAGTTAAGCAGAGGTAAGAGTCAACTTTCAACTTGGAAGGACACAGTTTCATTAGGAATTCTATTAGTAAAACTTGGAAGGACACAGTTTCATTAGGAATTCTATTAGTAAAACTTGGAAGGACACAGTTTCATTAGGAATTCTATTAGTAAAACTTGGAAGGACACAGTTCATTAGGAATTCTATTAGTAAAACTTGGAAGGACACAGTTTCATTAGGAATTCTATTAGTAATGTGAAAAAACAACAAAAGGCTATAGTTTAGATTAATAATTACGTTTAAGGTTAAAAAACGACTTTCTACAATTCTTTTTTTTTTTTGGGTCCGGTCATGGGGTCTGAACTCTGGGCCTGGTCGCTGTCCCTCAGCTCTTCAGCTCAAGGCTAGTGCTCTACCACTTGAGCCACAGCGCCACTTCCAGCTTTTTTCTTTTTGCTTATGTGGTGCTGGGGAATCGAACCCAGGGCCTCATGCATGCAAGGCAAGCACTCTACCACTGAGCCACCCTCCCAGTCCACGACTTTCTACCATTCTAAATGACAAATATGAGGCTACAATGCCAGTTAAAGTTTTTGTTAAGTTGAACATCATGGTTCAAAGTCAGCCCAGGCAAAAAAGTCTGTGACACTTTATCTCCAACTAACCACCAAAAAGCCATTAGTGGAATGGTAGCCCCAAGCAAAAAAGCTCAGAGACAGTGCATAGGCCCCAAGTTCAAGCCCCAGGACTGAATTACAGAATATCTCACCCTCCTTTCTCTCCAAACTGGAAGCACCCTCTGGTCCACTTGAACCAACTACTGAAGACAGTTCAGAAAAACTCCCAGATAAGTTGTCCAGACTGCTTGCTGCGGAAAGGCTTGATGGGCTAGATGGACCAGAAGACAGAGAATCTGCAGTGGCTCCAGGGCTTCTCACACCATTGAGCACTTGAGGTTTATAGCATGAAGGCAGAGCAGAAGGAGGCATAGCAGCTGTCAGGAGGGCACTGACATCATCAGCCTAGGGTATATTTAAACAGAGAAAAATCTGTCATAAGCAAAATTTAAAATTCCATTATACCTAGTAGGATCCAATAAAAAACATGACAAAACCCAGTAGATGTGCACTAAGACTGTTATCATATAATACTGATAAACACTTGATTATTTTACAGGTAAAGTGAACGATTAGCTAAATTGTTATTAAATATAAAACATAATTGCAAACATCCCTTCCAAGCCACATAAAATCAAAATAAATCTGTTAAATGTGGCAAAACATGAACAAAATCCTAATTTTGATATCATGATTAAAGGACACTGAAACCAATTATAGTCACAACAATTTAAAAAAGGTCAGTTTTTAACCCTATTATAGTTATTCTAATTCAACATGTGCAGAACTTAAGCACAGACTAATGTTTGTATTTAATAGAAAATAGTGATATGTTTGTTTCTCAAAATTGAAAACAAAAAAAAAACTTTTTTTGGGGGGGTCTGGTCGTGGGGCCTGAAGTCTGGGCCTGGGCGTTGTCCCTCAGCAATTCAGCTCAAGGCTAGCACTCTACCACTTGAGCCACTTCTGGCTTTTTTTCCCCTGCTTATGTGGTGCTGAGGAATCGATCCCAGGGCCTCAAGCATGCAAGTCAATCGCTCTACCACTGAGCTACCTTCCCAGACCGAAAACAAAATTTTTGGTAACAAAGATAATTTTAGTCAAATCTGCTAGAATGGGAAACTCTCCCAAACTTGCTGATATTACTCTGTTTCATTAGCAACAAAAACCATCTTTCACAAGATACTGGGTAAAAACATCCAGCAAGAAGTAAATCAATGTTTTCAGTTTATACCCTGCACCAACCCAATCTTTACTTTTCTTTCTCCACTCAATTTGTACCTTTTCATGGCACTCAGTCTGTATATAACACTTGTTTATAACAATAGTACCAGTTATTGCATGCTTTTTATGTGTCTGATGTCATATCTAGGACTTTAAATATATTAACTAATTTACTTCTCATATTGAGCAGACATGTTTTACTCCTTACAGATAACATATCTAAACCCTAGCAATTAGGAAACTTGGTAGAATGTACAACCATGACAGAGCTAGAATTCTAGGATAATAGTCTAAAGCTCATGCATGATCTCAAGTATTTTGTTCTCTGCCACTTAATTATATGGTGAATGAACATATGGGGAAAATCAACTCTCACATTTTACTTCTAAAGTAGCTTGGAACTGAAAGAACTGAAGGAATCAAGCTGTAATTATGATCTGATTGTCAGCCTGCTAAGGAAAATCTATTTAAACCCCAGATACAGTTGAACTAAATCATTTTCTCATTGTAGCTTGGAATAGTAGAATCTCAGTAGAAAGCAATTTGTAGGAGAGACTTTTTCCTTTCCATCTCAAAGGAGTTCTTGTTTCTTTACCGCTCTGGCAAGCAAAATTACACTTGTGCTGCAGTGGTCAAAGTAGAGGTGGAAGCTATAGTTGACATTCCTATATAAATTCTATTGGGGAAAAGAACAAGAATGAAAGAAGTTGTGTGGGAAGAAAAGGAAATCTCTATTAGTAGCCGGCTGGGTGGGTTTACTATACAATCTTGTTACTATTATAATCTTGTTACTATTATAACATTCATGGAGGACTTGTTACTGTTTCCTAAGCAGTTAATAGTGTATTTTTCCCTACTTTCATGGTACTTAGTACAAAATTACTGATCAATAATTCTATTATTTAAATTTTAATACCAAAGAATTTTAAAATTTAAGTTTGGGCAGAAAACCAGATTTTGCTACATTCACTATAAAGACATTTTATATAAATCTATCAAGTGAATTTTAAAAGGTCAGGAAAGCATTAAGGTTTTTTCAAAGAGCCCATCACTTACTGAAACTAAATCTAAAGGTGTTTGTCCTTCCTGATTTTTAAGAGTAGGATCAGCTCCGTGGGCCAACAATAAAGCACAAAGCTGTGTTCGTCCCTTTTGGGCTGCTTCATGCAAAGGTGTGAAAGCCCATTTGTCCGTGGCATTGACACAGGCATTGTACTTTATTAGTAAAGCTGCTACGTCTACATGCTGTAAAAGAAAATACTACTGTTATGGTCTGACATATTATATTATTACACTTTAGTTCTTAAGAAGAAATGACGTCTGTACCTACCTCCACATTTTCAATATTAACTCTGAAAATGACACTAATTTATGGTAGCTGCTTAAAATTACAGTAGAAATTTCAGTAACTTGAGAACTACTTAGAAAGTAGTTCAGGGTTATATAAGAAACTACTTTAATGATTTCAAACTTACTCGTGTTATAACTTAATATCAATTTATAAACTTCCTCAATTATTCAAACTACACCACTGATACTGGTTAACATTTACCATAACATTCAGGGTTATTCAGAATCAGAAAGAAGGTACCTGTACCCCTACAAATTCTTGTGAAATCTTATGGATTTCCTGAGCATGAACAAATAAACATATTGATAATATCTCACTGAAAATAAGAGAGAAGTGCTAAGCAAGACAATAAAACAACTGCAACATAGCAAGCTTACAAGTAGTTTCAGAGCTAAAATATATATAATTTAGCTTTTACTTCTCTGTAAAATGAAAAAAGTCAAACTAAATTCCATATGCACTTCAATATTGACTTTCACTTTGAAAATTACATGGATTTTAAAAGGTTATCATAGAACTTACCCCATAAGATGCTGCATTATGTAAAGGAATAAGTCCTCCTTTGTCTTGAGCATTAACATCAGCTCCATGTTGTAACAAATACTCTGCAACTTCTAAATTATTATAACCAGCTAAAAAAAAAAAAAACCCACCTTATTACTTTCACTTGTAATACAGTCACCTACATGTTGCATACAGCTGTATTTATATTTATAAAGCATAGATACTAAAAACAAAAAAGAAAATTTATATAATCTGAAATTATTGAGTCTATTAAAACTTAGCTTCTGAGGCCAGCTGTGGTGCATCACACTAAAAATCCCAGCTACTCAGAGGCAGAGATTGGGAAGCAGTCAGGATTATAGTTTAAGTCCATGTCTGAGGCTGGCTGGGCAAAATGCAGTAGATCATCTGCAAGGCCCTGAGTTCAAAGCCCACTACTGCTAACTCCCTTCCCTCAAAACCAAACAAATAAAATGCAGAAAGCAAGGACAGAAGGGAGATTGATACTGGTATAAAATCTTGGGGAACTTTTTGGTTGGTGATGACGTTCATTGGTTTTAGAGACTCCCAAAACATTATTGATCAGCTTTCTTGTACCTTCCTATCAAAGTCCCTGCTTTTGGGAGGGTGGCTCATTGGTAGAGTGCTTGTGTTGCAAGCATAGGCCCTGGGTTCGATTCCTCAGCACCACATAAGCAGAAAAAGGCAGAAGTGGCATTGTGGCTCAAGTGGTAGAGCACTAGCCTTGAGCTGAAGAGCTGAGGGCAGTGCCCAGGCCCCGAGTTCAGGCCCGACAACTGACCAAAAAAAAAAAAAAACAAAAAAAAAAAAACCCCAAAACCAAAACAAAAAAAACCCCAGCCCTTGCTTTCACAGTCGTTACGTAACAACTCCTAAACTCAAGTTTATTTTCTCAAGGATTCTTTAAGTTACAGGAATCTAAACACATAAAAAACCAAGTTAGGAGTATAAGTTAGCTGCAACATCAGAAGCAGAACACCAGGATGAGTCTCAAAGTACTCATTCTCAGGTCATACATAAAAGCATATGCTCTTTGCTAGGGAGAATTTACATGTTCCTATCTCTGATTAAGGAATCTACTCACTGCTAAAGCCATGAAGCAAAGCTTTGTATTTTGGAAACATGCATAATCTCCCAGCTACCATTCTATCAATAAAGTATATTCTATTTGACATACAATCGTAAGAAAAGAAAAGCAAATTTTCAACTTAACTTTGGCAACATAGAAACAGATATCACTTGAAACTTGAAAAATGGTTCAAATGTTTTATTCATACTTATGTTTACTGTAGTTGTTTTTATTTTTTGTTGAAGGATCTAAAGTATGAAAAATTTTAAAAATCAATAGAAAACCAAAATGACCATAAACTATTATAATAATCTAGAACTCTTTCTAGGTCTCAAGGTATAGCATTTAATCCTACAAAAATACTTTGAGAGAAATATCTTGTATACTCAACATGAATTTTAATATTATTGCTAAATATTGTACTAAGCTACAATAAAGATAAAAAAGCTAATTAAATATGTACAGTACACTTCCGACCAGGTTATACCCATACATTGCATGGACTAGAAACTGGCACACGGCTTTGTCATTTATGGCTTGTCATTTCCAAAAATGCTATAACGCAGAGCATAGTTAGAGTAATTCATATTCTTGGATAATGTTCGGGGTCCAAACACTAGCAACACACTGAGTTATGCTACAAGACTGACATGAAATCAGAAATGTTTTTCATTTCTTATGTTATATAAAACTAGACGAACTATCTGTATTACTTAATTTTTACTTCTGTTTTAAACCAGGTTTAGATAGCTGTGTCTATTATGGAACTCTCCTGAGGCATTAGATGTAGCTCTGAGATTTTCATAACTTATTCTCTAGTATCTGCAATGCAGCTGAAAACACTATATTGAAATCACATAATTGTATACCTACACTAAAACCAACAGTGCACTGAAAGCCAACTTCGTGAAAGAAAAGGTAGAACAAATGGGATCAAAGCCTTAACTCAAATGGCTTGGATGCCTTAACTCAAGTGGCTTGGATGTGACTGTATTTGGAGATGGAGTCTTTAAAGAGACAAAGAAGAGAAAATGAAGCCATTAAGATAGGGATTAGGGGCTGGGAAGGTGGCTCAGTGGTAGAGCACTTGCCTTGCATGCCTGAGGCCCTGGGTTCGATTCCTCAGCACCACATAAAGAAAAAAGCCGGAAGTGGCACTGTGGCACAAGTGGTAGAGTGTTAGCCTTGAGCTGAAGAGCTGAGGGACAGCGCCCAGGCCCAGAGTTCAGGCCCCACGACTGGACCCCCCCCCAAAAAAAGAAAAAAATAGAAAAAAAAAAGATAGGGATTAATCTAATCTGGTCAGTGTCTTGGTAAGACCTATGAGAAAAAAATTTCTGTTGTTGATTCTTGTAGTTCTTGCAAAATAAACACAAAAATAACTTTGGCAAAGGTTTATGTAACTCCTTCAATATTTTAATGATTATTTTGTGGTTTGTATTTAGCAGCAATCATCAGAAGAGTAGAAGCTTTAGCTTCCCATGAGGAAGGCTAGCTGAAGCAGGCTTATTTTTAAATTCACCAAAGATGATTCAAGCAGTACAGGATTCTTAACAAAGATCCCAAAGGCCGGGTGTGCTGGTGGCTTACTCCTGTAATCCTTGCTACCCAGTAGGCTGAGATCTGACGATTGTGGTAGTTGAAGTCAGCACAGGAAGGAAAATCTGTGACTTCAATTAATCACCAGAAAACTGGAAGTAGAGATCTGGTTCAAAGTAACATCAGTCTTGTGCAAAAGAGCTCAGGGACAGCATCTAGGCCCTGAGTTCAAGCCCCATGACTGACAAAAGAAAAAGATCCACTTGAGCCACAGTGTCACTTCCTGTTTTCCGGTGGTTTATTGGACATAAGAGTCTCACAGACTTTCTTGAGCAATCCTCAGATCTCAGCCTCCTAAGTGGCTATGATTACAGGCCTGAGCCACTGACGCCCAGCTTATAGGCAATATTTTACTTCACCAATCAAAGTCTGTGAAACTTCATTCACATACCTGCTAAATGTAAAGGGGTAGAATGTCGGCCTTGGGTATCACGGCAATTTACATTATCAGGTGAAGACAACTTCTTCACTCTGGCTAAACAACCTTTTTTGGCAGCATCTAGCAAGGCCGCATCTCCCCTAAGTAGGTCTTGGATATCTGTATCTCCATCTTTAACAAGATCCAAAGGAGTATTCCCATCCCTATTTTTCTTTGTAGGATCTGCACCATGCTGGAGATGTGAAAAATAAAAAGAGAGGAGGAAGGACTTTAGGTGAATCTTTCATAATTGAGAAAAGTCAATTCAACCAAGCCAACGAAACTAATTTTATACCCTAAGTTAAGATGACTGTTATTAATGTGAAAATATAGAAGCAGTTAATGACAGGTACAGGTTCTAAAAAAATGTATTCCCAAGTGATTTCATCATTGTGCAAATATAATAGCCAAACACCTATTTACACTAATGCGGATAGCAGAGCTTTCTATATACCTAGGCTACATGGTATAGTTTACTGCTTCTAAGTTATAAACCCAAACAGTCTGCTAATATACAAAATATCATAGATAACTAACACAATGCGATATTTTCTTTTTCTTTTCTTT